TAAAATTTTTCTTAACTTTTTGGCGGTACCCCTCGCTAAAAATAGAAAATTTTCCAGGTTATCAAGTGTGCTGAATACGAAAAAGCACTTTTCTTTAACTCTAAACAAACTTCAATTTTTTTTTATCGGTGATATGTTAGCATTTTCCATTTGATATTGCGTTGCCATCTCTTAATCTTGAACCGGTGGTAGATGTCGCTAATAAAAGAAAACTATAACTTATTTCTTTGATTTAGCACTTTTCTTGAAACCTTCCTTTGAGGCAAATAGAACTTAATTGTTCGTATTTTTCGACCATCATCTAAGTTCATGCAGTTTAACCTAGCATAGCCTTCACAACCAATTCGGTCCTTGGTTAAGCTTCCAAAAATATATATTTCAATAGCTGAACTCTTTTGAACCCATTGGATATCACAAGCAGATTCGTCGCATCGAAATTACGTGGAGCGGCCGGAACAAGCTACAAGTATTTTTAAAAAAAGTAAGTAAAAAAAGTAACGTTCTTTATTTAAAAATAGAATAAGAGACAAAAAATACTAATATAAATCTCTCCACCATTTTCTATATTGTATGGTTAAAAGAATGTGAGTGCGAAGAGTTTTAATAGGTATAGTAAATAGAACGCTTTTTCTTAATTATAAAAACACAGAAAACAGATCAACTTTATTGGCTACTGTAGTTAATTAATTCTTTTTCTAATACCTGAACGTGTGCTGCTAAAACCAGAAATCGGTTACTGCTAAGTTCGCAATTCTGAGTTGACAGAATTTGAGTTGGATTTGTGCAAACTTTATAGTAGTCGGTGTGTGTATTGGTGCAATATCGACCATAGTACACCTAAAAATGCAGCTGCTAGGGCGTTTGTACGAAGAGGTGAGATGATTGCTAACGGACCTGCGTATTTCTGTCAGATCGCATAAACAGCTAGACAGAAAGTAATTAGAAATTTGTCGAACAGCAGTGACGGGAGAGTATGGTACGATTGGATATCCATTTTTCTATTATCTACATAGCGATGCGAGCATATATAAAGTCTGCTATTTAGCACATCACATTTTTATTTAATTTTCTTATCAGGTTAATGTTATCAAACGCACCTTTCGGATCCATGAATATAATATCTACGGGGATAGTGTAGATTATTTTTCTTCACGATATATGCAGTTCTAGAGGGTGTTTCATAAAAATTCTTAAGTGCTCGACTTAACTAAGTCTAGACTTAAGTCAGACGTAACTGTATAAAATTAACAAGTAAGTATACAAAACGAAGACTTAAGTATATGCAGTATATGCATATATAGTTTTATTTTTTGTTTAATGTGGAATATACCGATCTTTACAGGAATCCATTTGGTAAAGCAGCAGGAAATAGATAAGAGTATACAATACAAAACATATGCAAATACAAGGCGCCAGAATCAAAAAGCAGGATAAGTCATAGATGAGCGGTACCTTATTTAATCATTATTATTTATCACCCGATTAGCGTCACTTTCTGCTTCTTCACATTTTCAGTAGCGCTGCTGTAGCTACATGGCATATTACCGGAACAAAAAATGCTTTATAGCCAGAGATGTTTGATCTTTCCATTGCAATGGTATACGGACTGTTTTCCACATTTTATCATGAAATAAGTACTGGTGGACATATGGGTTACTGAGTCAAGATATTTATTGAAAGGAACCAAAATAGGATTGAGAAAGAAGTTTTGCATTAAGATACTACTTGTTTATTTTCTGAAAGATCCCACTCGTTGTGAAAAACAATATTTCTTCCAGTGCTCCGGTACGAGATAAGACTTCTTACTACAGAAGAAAATCTTCATCCGAAACCATTCGATCTTATGAACGTTTGAAAACCTTCATTCTGTGGGATCAGATTAAATATTTTCTGAGAAACTATTTTTGTTAAGCAGAATCTGTGCTGCAGACGACCTTTTCACGATACATTATATCTAGTTTCGACGTTAGACTTGTATTATCAAGCTGTTGGTCAGCGCCTTTCATGCGTTTATTTAGCACTCACTAATTACTTCTTTCTAGAAAACTTTGATGATCTTTCTCTTTCATAAACAAAATCTTGTTCTTAGTGTGTCGTTTGGAGAAAAGAACTTAACGGATTACCTATGCCGTAGCAAGATTTTTGATTTTTGTTTTGATGTCGTTTAGACAGCGAATCAAGTCTTTATTATTGCCGAAGGCGTCAATGAATGCGAGTGAACTTAACATTGCTCATATTTTTTTGTTTGTTCTAGATGTATAGACGAAAGCTAGCCGCTCTTGACTACTTAAAAGATTACAATCCACAAGGTATTAAATTTGATTACACAATTGTTTAGTTTAGTTAAGTAGATTTTCCCTTTTGTTTCTAGATGAGAATGACTTTCGTAATATGATAGTATGGCTAGAAGATATGAAAATCCGTTTATATCCGATAGAGGATCGACAGAATTTGAGAAATGTACAAAGTCCACAATGGAACATTGCATATCAGAAGGTATGGTAAACCACTCAAATTATGGGATGAAATATTTACTGTCTTTATGTTTTTCAGTATTTAGAAGATCTGAAATGTCCACATAACAACATAAACGATCATGCGATTATTAGCGATTGGTTAATTGGTTCAGCAGTTAGATTAGAATACGGTGATAGTGGTATGTCCTCGGTTAAGTTCAATTTGTTCTTTTAACATGAAATTTATATTTCATGTATGATTTAGTTGAGAAATTTCGACCGGTTGTATCTGGTAATGAAGTGACAATGAACGGTGACAGTAATAAACCAAAACAAGGAAATCCATTAGACAATATTGATTGTAAGTAACAAAAATACGAGATTTTATGCGGAGAAAGATTCTCAAGTACTGCACACGAGAGAAATAACTTTCTACAACAAAGGAAAAACGCTGAACTTTATTTTAAACTTGAAAAAAGTAAGGACTTGTTGTTTTTCCTCTGTTATGGAGAATTGTCACTTTACCCGAACACTAAACTGACTGTCTCTTATGAGTATTCTATATACGAAGTGAGGGCAAAAGTAGTTCTATTTTACTCCTATCTCTTAAACCAGACAAACATTCTTTATCATTTTATCATTGTTTTTAGTTACGACTCCAGAATTTAAGCAAGGCATGGAAAGATTGTGTGATATATTGCAAATACCACGGAAATTTAATGATACAACTGCTGTTTTAAGAGTATGAACATACAACTGTAGTTTGAATATACGCACAGAAATGTCTTTGGTATTCTTTCTTATCTAGACTATAAGCAAAATAATAACAACAAAACTTTCAAAAGAATCAATGGAAAAACAACAAATCAAGGAACATGTGAGTACTAATCATCGTTTTTTCTCAATTTCTCTATATTATTCATTTTTATTTAACTTTAAAGGGTTCTGGCGTGGATTTTTCAGTGGACAAAATAGCATTGGGTTTTACTACAGGGGGTAAGCGTACATTTGATTAAGTTGCTCTACTAGAGATGACCGATTTTAAATTTTTTAGATGCTATTATCGATGAAGCAGCGAAAATTTTACGTTTATTATATATCCAAGATCTTCGTCTGTTACAAACAAAAATAAACGAAGCAATTGTAGCTGTTCAATCAATTGTGGCCGATCCTAAAACGGACTCAAAATTAGGAAAAACCGGATATTGAATGAAAATTGCTTTTTTGGGTTGCTTGATTGTTTTTTGGTTCTTGTTTATTACCTATACTCTCGCTATCACTCGTTTGTGTCTTTCACATGAATATTGGTTACTAATTATACAAGTCTAGGAAGAGAAAGCGTGTTATCATGTTCTTGTTATTATTTTCTCAACATAGTTTACGGTTGTTATTCTTGACTGTTTCTTTTAAACAAGGTATCTTTTGTGTTTTTTTGTCCTTTTATTAGCCATTTTATTGTTATAGCATTTTATGTTATTCTGTGATAAAATAAGAAAAGAACAAAAAATTTGAAAATCGATAATCTTCCTAAAATATAAAGTTAACTATAGTTTACATCGTGGTACACTTTTTCTCCTATGCTCTAGATAATTTCAGAAATATGATTTCATCTCAAAGTTTTCTATCGACTTATTCAAAACAAACAGTATTCTACACATGGTTAATATATACAGTCAGTTTCTGTATGATTTCTCTCAAATGGCTATATAAGGAAATGAATGGTTGGTAAATCTTAAAGATAAATTTTTCAATTCAGTAGTATTTTGAAATAAAAATTGAATATATAGGTATTCGTCAGTCGCTTTATGAACATCAGAAGAAGTTAAACGATACTTACCCTTGGTATAAAATACATGAATGGCCTGCAGTAAGTCGTAAAATTAATGTCTTAATTGTCAAGTGTACGATATTTGCTTGTACAGTTAGTTTGCATATTTATTTGTTTTTTTTTCTTTTTATAGTTTCATGTGCATGCAGCAATACGCTTCCATTAGGTTAAGTCATGTTTGCTTTCTGTCTGCTTAAAGTCGACGATACTCTTATTAGATGATTTTGTTATTCTTCTATTGTTTTCATAATATTTTTTGCAATATTTAGGAAATAGTTTGTTTATCATTTTCAGGATACGTTTGATTATGAATGGACTTTTTGTACAAAATTTATTCTAATAACAGTTCACAAGCACATATTAGGTTTTCTTATATTAGTCTTTTTCTTTAATTGTAGCAAATCATCAAGCATATTCAAAGTAAGTTCGGAAAACAAAAGTAGTTCGTTAATATTTTCCAGTTTCATTGATAATTTCAGTTGAAACTACCAGTATTTATTTTATATGGTTTATTTTCGTTGGCTTATTATATTTCATATCAAACAGTGTTATACATATTATTACTCAATATACTTTTCTATTATATGTGCACAGAATATAAAAATAAATTCTTGCTGTATGCAGTGTTTTTTCTGTTACTGATATCCATAACATGGCGTACTTCATTTGAACATTTTGAGGCAAGTAACATTTTAATTGTTGTTATTTCCATTTGTCTATGTTGCGTTTTTTCAGATAGCCAAGTACAATGCTTGCGATTCCTGGCTATCTGTGATGCTTATTTCAGCTGACTAATAAATATAGATTAAACTAACATTTTAATCGTGCAGATGAAATAAATATAGTCTGTTTTGTATGTTTTAGACAATTGGAGTTTTCCCTAAAGGACAATCAACTTTATTTATTTATGTAATGTGTTTACAAACTCAACGTTTATTAGCGTTCACAGTGGAAGAAATCGATCGATCAAATAAAAATAATTATAGTAAAATAAATAGTCAGATTAACGCAGATGATATTCAAGAACGTCCATTTGAAGATTATAAATTTATAAATTTATTATTCTATAATACATATTTTCCTACATTATTTATTGCGCCGTATATACCATTCAAAAATATCATGCCGTCAGTAAGTATATGTAAAATAAATATTTTTTTCCCCAAAAGTATTTAGAAACTTAGTATTTGCTTGTAAATAATAATGAAAAAACATATGTTTTTGTAGATCGATTTTCAGCATTGTAATGAAAATCAAAGAAAATCAGTTTGGAATACAATCCGTCAATTTCCTCACATAGTGTTTAGTTATCTTGTGTGCGAATTTACTATTCGATTATATCCTTTATATTTTATTCAATATTTTCCAAATTATATTACTCACATCTCAACGTGGTCTATTCATTCTTACATAATATTGGTTCAAAGTATGTTTTCAACAAAATATAAGTTCATTTTTGGCTTTTATTTATTGATGACCACTATTGACAATGTCAAAGGGTAAGATGTCTACAGAGTGATGCTGTGTTTTGTTATGATTCTTTTCTTATAGACAGCCGTTACCAATATGTTTTTATTCTTCTACAACTATTGCGGATATGTGGAGGTATGTTTCAATAAACTCTGATTTCTCGCGTTTTTATTATTATTTTTTAGAAAATTTGATGTTGGACTATATCAGTTTACTCGAGAGTATGTGATATTTATCTTTATCAAATTTTTTGTCAATTTTACCTACGTATTCTACTGATAGCTTCTATTATATTCCAATGGGAGGAAAATACATGGGTACGTCTCGACGAACATTTTCTACGTTACTGGCATTTTCTACTATTTCTCTTTGGCATGGAAACACATGGTACGATTTATTTAAGATATTTGACGTTTGTTTTACAAAAAATCTAAGCTAAAATTAAGTTAAATATTCAACTTGAGTTTTAGAACTGACGACAAATTTAATGTTCTTCTTTCGATCTATCTAACGTTTTTCTTAAGATTTACGACTAGATATGTCTAATTTAAGTCATATTCGTGAAGTTGACTAAGAAACATCTTAGCTTAGGGTGAACTAAAGCTGAAACTTAGTTTTGTCTTAACTCAAGTTAAGCTTAAGATTTTTTGTGAAATACATCGCTATTCTTATCGTTTTGATAATACGCTGTTGCATATTAAAGGTACATTTCATTATGGTGTTTTACGAATTTTGCTATTTATATAATTGAAGGTGCTCTCTTAAATTTTGTTAAACGAAAAGAAAACGTAAGATATATGTTATTTGGAATATTTCAAGTGTCATGCTTAGAAGCTGATAGAAAGAAGTTATTTCTACTGAAAGTGTTTGAATTTTTTACGAAGCTCAAAAATTAGTAAGCATAAACACTGGTGGTAATCGTTCTTGGGCACTGGTTGGGTTGAAATTACTGTCCTCTACTTTTTTGTTAATGCATTTCTTTTTTCATAGGTTTCACATACAGCACTATCTCATTTCTGTTTTTATTTATCAAGAGCATTAATTCTGGCGTGTATTTTTAGTGTATTCTCATTACTACATGTGCTTTATTTAGTAAATTTCAAGAGTATACCAGAAATTTATGCTAAAGTATTTTCATTAGGTAAGACAATGTAAACTGGCGATATGAACGGTATGGTCATATACAATTAATTAGATTTTTTGTAGCTACTATTTGGCAAATACCAGTCCTAGTCATATTTCTTTATTTTCCTGGTTTGCTGATTTGGCGAGGTATCTGTTCCACAACATCCATCTGTGCACTCAAAAAGAAATCGTAAAATGGAAATAAATAAAGATATCATTACTTCATATAAAGAATCATCACTACATTTTCCATTTACTATTTTCTAGTCAATGTTTTTTTTGTCAATTTATTTCCAATTGTATCATTATTCCATTTGTAAATAGAACTGTGGATGGTTTCTTTTTGCTTACCCTATTTTTTGTCTAGAGTCTATGTTGTGTACTACATAATATTTTAAAGTCAATATTAATTTCGTTTTCAGATAACTATGATAACAATAAAAATGATAAGAAATCTGATTTTAAACATTTATGTTTCTATTCTTTGTTGTGTGTCTTTATCGGTTCTGTATAATGATACAGCAGGTAAGTTAGTATCGTTTTCAGATACAAAACGAAATTGAAATGCTTATTTTATTTTAGCTGTTCGAAACAAAATATATAAAAGTACTTTTTCAGTACCGTATGATCAAACAAATTATACGTGGTGGAGTATTCCTACAAATCAGTTGCCACCAGTATGTTCAGATTCGTCATTTTTTTGTAATATGTTTGCTATTTTGATTTACTCTGCTATTTCATTTAGTTTTTGCATGTATTATTTGACATCGTACAACGGCGAAATAAATGGCATAGATTACCGACATCATCGCATAAAATGTAATTTTCTATTTTCTGTTGAATAATTCCTTGCCTATATCTAATCATTCAACGTTTAGCAGATATTAGAATGTCAGAAAAAAACTGTTCCTCGCTAAATAACACTGAATTGGATTCGGCATCTTAGAGTTGAATTCTTGAAAGAAATATTATTTATCTCTCTCTAATTTTGTATCAAGCAAATATGAGCGCTCTGTTTCTTTTATGCATAGTTAATGTACTAATAAAAGCAGACAAATGAGCATTATAAGCAGGTTCATTTTCTTTCGGTAATTTTTCTCATAACTCTTATTTCATTTTTTTAGTTTTTTGATCAAAATTATGACTATGAATGGTTGCATGACATTACATGGATGAAAACTGCCTACCCTTATCTGTTAATATTTACCCTTTTATCTCTTATGTTCAGTAATATACAAATAATTTTCAAAGTATGTACATTACGATATTTTTTTTTAAATTCAAATTGTATATCGTTTTATTTTGTTTTCTTTTAAGTACAAATCAGTCATAATTCCGTTGTATGGTGGAATATGTATCACTTATTTTCTTTCAGTTTATACATGTATGTTTATCATTGCATTAAATACTATTCAATATTTTATATCAACGCGTCACAAATATAAACTGTCATATTATATTATATTTTTTTTATCGTTGATATCATTTACAGCATCAAGATTCAATATCTACAAAGTACGATATCAATTTTCATTAAACTATTAACGATTATTAGAGATTACGTGTTCTTCTCATTTCAATACAGAGTTGTCCAAGAATAAAATATATCTTACCATATCTCATTTCTATCTTCTGTTGATCGATTGCCCATGATTTTTAGTTTAAAACAGCTAATTTGATTTCGTTTTAGAAAATGAAGTTTTATTCATCCACTACTGTTAATATATTTGTTTATACCATGTGTTTACAAGTTCAACGCATAGTAAGTATTACACTTGCAACATGATCTTTTCTATTAAGATTATTTTCAGCTTGCATTTACAATGGAAAAGTTTGATTATGAAAGAAAAGCTGAAGAACAGAAAAGTCACCAAACACCAACTGTTGAAAATGATACAAAAACAATAGTAGTTAATGATGATAGAAAAATTATAATTAATATTGATCTTTCATCTCATGGAACTAAAGGTTATTGTTTGAAGAATTTATTATACTACAATTTTTATCCACCACATTTGTTTCTGGCACCCTATATTCCATTCAAAAATATCATGCTATCAGTATGTGACTGCCAACGTCTGATTAATTTTTTCTTTACTTATTTTTTGATTCTGTTATTTTAGCTTGAAAAAACCAATATATCGTTCAAGAATATATTATTTAATTTATGTCATGTGGCGTTCAGTTATGTTGTATATGAAGTTTTTGTTCGATATTATTCATTCTATTTCTTACAACAATCTTATTATTCGAGTTATTTATCATCTTATTCCTTATGGTCAATGCATACATTCAATACGGCATTACATAATATGTTTTCAACAAAATATAAAGTATTATTTGGAATGTACACCATATTTGTGTTGCTTGATGGGTGTCAACCACAACCGATACCAATTTGTTTTTATGCCGCAAGATCAATTGGTGAACTATGGAGGTGAAAATCGAGAGCATTTTAAAATATAGGTACATCAACTTTCTTCTAACATAATTCTCTGTTGTTTAGACGATTTGATGTTGGATTGTATCAATTCACAAGAGAGTACGTACAAATTTAAGACTGCATGAAAACAGCAACGTGGTTCAAAGCTCAATTAATGTATTATTTTTAACTAACAAATGAATCTTTCCGTTTGTTGTCTTTCATCTATCTACATGTTCTCGTGATACCCTTCAAGTGTAGTAGATGCATTTTTTTTCGTATGTAATCTCATCCATCTACTTAGGCATAAGCATGTTTTCTTATTTACTTTATAGTTTTTTTTACATTCCTCTTGGCGGAAATCGAATGGGTTTTAGACGTCGAGTAACGGCGACCATATTGGCATTTACTCTGATCGGTATGTGGCACGGTGGTAGTTCGGATGTTCTTTTGTGGTGTGGTGCAAATTTTCTTAATGTAACGATAGAAATGTTATTATTAAACTATATTCAGTCGAAAAAGGATGATTTGGTAGGATACTTTGTTTAGGCCATTTCTCTTTGATTTATATTTTTCTTTATGTTTAGGATACCAATCGTGTTTTAAACTATTCAGTGGCTAAAGCCATCGTTGTTTCATTTACACTATCAATTGCAGTTTTTGTTAACACTATCCATTTGATGCATTTTAGCCTTTACAGAATATTTTATCAACATGTATTCTCAATTAGTAAGTATTCTATTAGTTTCATGAAAGTTTCCACAATGTTACCTTTCTTTGTTTTTAGATAATATTTGGTTTGTTCCGTTGATTACTCTCAATGTGCTTTTTCCTGTCCTTTTGGCAAGAATTGATAAATGAAAGAATCAAAATTTCTTTCTTTTGAAATTGTACTGTTATTTAAATAAATTAAATCAATAATGAACATATTTTTGTTTCTGTTCACTTACTAAACAGTATTGTTGGATTGTTTTCTCGATATTTGAAGATGTTTTTTTATTTTTGCTACTAACCATGGCCCATTTCTTTTATTACGAAGTTCTATATGGTGTCTATCGGTGATGATTCAGTAGAAAAATATATGGATGTATTCTCACGAGGTTACTTTATTTGAAAAATAGCCATAAATCGCGATACTTGTAATGTTCAACGGGATATAATCTGTTATCGATAAATCTTTCTCAAACTTTCTCGTGATGAGAATACTGGTACAACAAACGGCAATATCATTGGCAAAGGAACATTATGTGTAACGACGACATATCCGACACTATCATGGGAACACCAACGCTCTAAAGTATTTGTACATGATCCCGTAAGATTCTTTGCTTTTGCTTTTTTTCTTCTCTTAAAAACACAGTTGTTTATTGTTCTTCATATAGTTTATAAATGGAGGAAAAAAATGCATGAATTGTCAAAAGAGAAATCGTTCATGTATCAATACATTCATGGCATATCATATTCAATGACATCGTTCAATTTGAGGTGTAGTAGACCAAACTGTATAGGCGCAACTAAAGATACAGTTTTGTATAATAGTTTGACAAATAATAACAATAAATACGAATTCAAACACAATCGATTGTCATGTAAAATTTTGAGAAGCCATGGAAAACTATCTGCGACAGATTCATAAGGTTTGTTAATCAAAAACCACTTAAAGCTATCAAAATGATCCCAGGTTACATTCAAATTATCGTCTGACATTGTTTCAATCGTATAAAGAATCACTTAATAAATGATGTTTGATCATTCAGTCAGCTAATGTTTAAAAAAAGTTCTCTAGACACCATAACTCTGTATGTACTCAACCTCAATCGGACCTTTCTAAAAAGCCCAGGCTATTAGAACATTTGCTGAAAGGTCCTTTATGATGGAATGTATAATTACGGAAATAGATGTTTGACAGAGACATATCTCAAGTCCTACATTCGAAAATACTCGTTAGTAGATAAATATATAGCGTTGAAATCATTAACGTACCGCTGTCGTAGGACCCAGCATGAAGCATCATCACAATTTCATCGTTTTTGATTTCGTTCCGACTTTTTATGGAATAAACTTGAAGCTGAAAGTGTTTTTCTTTCCAGTATTTCATTAGGTCGCCAGAGGATAAAAAGACGCACACATCATTTACAGGAAATGATTTTATTTATATGGAGATCACGAGTGCTAAAAGGTTCGGAAGCATTTTTAAAAAGCACAAGAAATAAGGCTCACTGCTGTAACAATGCACAGCTTGACTTTTTTACTTACTTTTCTATTGACACTATACGCATCTCAGCGGATTTTTTTAACGGAAGGACGATTTCTGTTGGACGGTCTTCGAGTTAGTTTAAAACTGTGAATTTCTCAGTGTGTGAACAATTTGGAGGAAGGGGAGGCGTACGCCTTTTTGCCTTCATGTAGATAACACGAAATAAACAAACACCAAACCTATATGAAAACGAAAATGATGAGGTTAGACTACATCACGATATAGTCAAAACTATGCAATGAAGAAAACAAATAAAAATTTTATAAATTCGCGTAAGAGAAGAAGGGATGATTAATAGATTATGATGATGTATTGATCACCAAGGTACGCGAGTAATCAAAATAGTCATATGATTGATGCAAGCTTGCCGTCTAGCGGATTTGATTATCAGTAAAACCGACTCGGTATTTAACCAAAATATTTCGCAGCATAGACAAACCTAATTCTTCGTCCAAACTATTGAAACAGAGCCAATAGAACAAAAAGCTTATCTTTCAAAAACAGTGCGATGTTTTAGTATATTATTTTAGGCACACATTTACGTTTATCTTTTTTTATTACTCTAGCTAAATATATAATAAGATGTGAACAGCGAAAGTCTTACTACGAAATGAAAGTAAAGAGTTAGCTGGCATAAGAAGTTGTGTTTTTTTGAAATATAAGGCAGGTAGTTTTTTTTTTGAATAACCCAAAGACGGTAAAACTAGAGACTTGCGATCTTCAGGAATCGAAAAAGGACAGCTGGCTAACGTGCTGTGATATTACTTTGTGAATCAAGTTGCATATGTACTAGACATAAGATTCTTTAGCTGTACATGTCGTGACGTGTGAAATTGGTGAGACTCAACTTTCGAACAAAAATTAGTCATTCTAAAAGATAATATATTTTAAAATTTCAATAAGCTTTTAAATAAGTGAATGCCCTCCATATTGCTTAGCAAAGTATATCGGTTATACCAAATGTCTTTTTCTATATTGTGGTAAACATGTTTTTTTAACGGAAGATACACAAAAAAAAGCTCTTGAGAAAAACTTTATGTTTTCAAAGAGTTGGTTGAAGAACTCATTTAAGTTCTCTGAGCTGTGAAGAGTTTTAGTTGCTTATTACCTGAGTTTTTCAAAAAAAATGTCAAACACAATTTTTTTTTCCAATTCTTCGAAGATCTCGATGCTCAAAGAGAAAAAGAAGAGTGAGAGATGTCGATCACCGTTGTTATTTTGCTGAGCTAACACATATAAACTGCACGATATTTTCTTATACACAATTAAAATTACTGTCAAAAATGTTTGTCTATGCAGAATGATGTGCACACTTCGCGGGCATATTTGTCCTTGACGACATGAAATGAAACCGATTGAACCCACGTTCATTTATACTAGAGAAAAGCCTATTTTAAAAATCCAGATATAGAGAACTAAACTATTTATTAACTAAAAATAATTTTTTTGAAAAAGCTTTCAAACATATTTGATAGAAAATCGATAGTAAAGAATATCAACTCCATGGCTATGCAGAGCTAACTTCTCTGTCTATAATGGCATGAGCTTTCTTAGCAGCTCCAGGACCGAATAAAAATTGAACACTTAGAACACAGAATATAAATGTAATTCATTTGTCGAGCTTTCGCAGATAAGCAGATTCATCTTTTTCGTTTTGAACAGTAATGTAATGAAACGTGCTTATGCATACGCGGAATTTTCTTCCCGAATCCATGTATTGTTGTATCCGAAGTTTTATGATCACTTAACTACTTTTCCAGTTTAGCTCATCGATAACCTTATATTGAATAATTGCCAAATGTCGATTCTTTTATTGAATTCTAATCTTCGAATCGAAAATTAAAAATTGAGAACTGAAACTGTGTGGACTTCTATCAGATGTATGTTTCAAATTAGGATCAACATTATTAAATACCACATATTGAAACTAAAATTTTATAAAGACGACTGCATGTGCAATCGAAACGTCTAGATAATTACTATTAAAAAAAGTATATTACGAAGATAAAGTAATTAAATAGTTTCGAACCGAAATCCTTATCCTGTGACTTACATTATATCAGTTTATGAGAAATTTTTGAAAAAGAAGTTTCTATTTATTTTTTAAAAATTTCTCATAAATTAATTGTATTCATTTGTTGTTTTAATTGGATTGTTGATGTCACTTGGTTTTATTCAAATTAATTCTAAACAACAAACGATTAATGATTGTTGGGTCGGATAAAGAAGCATTTGGTTTAAAGGAGAATGAATCACCATCGAAGAAGATTTGCTAAGTCTGTAAAAATGAACTGTAAATTACCAGTTTTAACGAAAAATACTTTTGAGAACAGCAAATAAATTAGAATAAGTAAAATTTAATGCACAAAATGGAAATAACAGAGGCTTTCGATGCTTATTGCTTGTTTTCGGTGAAAATACTTTTTGCGGCAAAAAAGTATATCAGAAAAAAAGCTTGGAATGTTAATCTATCCCATGAGTATTTTTTCGATTGTCAAAATGCGGTTTTTCCGCTGAAATCCTTTTTCAGGATACCCCGTTTAAACAACGCTAACAGTTGCTCGTGATTGAATGAAAGGGTCCGATTATTATTAGGAAAATCGTAGTTTCTTATGAGTGTCGAGTGTGTTATTGCAGTTTACCTTAATTTACAAATAGAATGCGGTTTTCCTACTAATAATTGGATGTTTTTCCAGATCGAGAGCAACCGCTCAGAGATGCGTCCGTGGTATATATTTGTAATAAATATAATACGAAGGAAAGATATTATTAGTTATTAAAAGCTGAATCCAAGTCTTTAGCTCGCCGAACTTCAGAACAACAAATTTGTAACATGCCTATTTAAAATCAATCCTTAAAAGTCAGCTCTTTTTTCTTAAAAACGTCTCGCTCGAAGGAATCTATGAAGCGCATGACCGATGTTTTAGTTCTTCATTACAGATACAAAATTCATAATTGAAATCTCTCACCGATTACTTATTATACGTTCAGAATTTCGAGTTAGCTGGACAATTACAATTTGTTTTTTGAACATTTTAGTTTATGAGAAATGGAAAAACTCGATACCGAAAAATCTGTTTTGATCTTAAGCAATTTGAGATCAGAATAGGATCAAGATTGAGCTTATTAGAGAGAAAGTATTTGAAATTTAGAAAAGAAGTCGACTGAGTAATCAAGTGAAAAAATGAGAATGTTGACGATCAATTATTCTTTAGTATATATCGTTATTTTCAGGCGATTATATTGACGGTGGTAAAATGTCATTAGAAATACTTTTGTTATTGATGTGTTACAAAATTAAATATGCCCAAAACTTTTTCTTACTAAGTGGGAATCATGAGTATGGATCAGTTAATCGAATATATGTTTTCTACGCGAAGTGAAAACAAGTTTAGCTGCTAAGCAAATAGAATTATTTTGTTGATTTTGCTTAAGCTCACTTAATGCTCATTTTATACTATGTTTATTTTTTTAATAAAACAACAAGTGGTGAAGAACGTCCACAGGCTTTTTAAATTTTAGACCGGATAAAGACATAAGTGTGCGAAGAAAGAATAATTGTGCTATTTTTTCACATTCGTTGTCAATAATGTATTCTATTTCTATGTCTATTTAGTAAGAGTTTCGGATACTTATTGCTTTTACTTTTGGTTTTTAACAAGGCATAACCTTGATCTAACCTGTCGGGCATATCAAGTAATTGAAGACGAATGTGTGTTTTTCGCTAAACAACAGTTAATGAACAATTTTTAGTGCTCCAAATTATTGTGGTAAGTAATCAAGTTTAATTACTTTATGGGGAAAAATCTCGAAAAGATTGAAATTTTAGTAGAATTATCTGAGGTTGAGTTCGTCGGCATCAACATCTAACAATTATTGCTCTCAATATAAAATTGATTTCTCTTAGCTTTATAAACAAGACTAGTACAATATATAGGTATACGTTTCGCTGCAATCTAATAATACCGACTGTGTAACAAGTGTTGATAAAAATTTGATGCGTAACTTTTATATACTTCCTTTTATATTCTTCATTGTAGAAAAATTGTTTCGATTGTAAACAAGTGCCACTTTCACTAACTTAGTCAACATCACTACAGATTGTCAGTCAGGATGCGGCAAAACGACGTTCAATCGAATCACAAAGTATCACTGGACCATCAGCGAAATATTCAAATAAACCACAACATACACGTTAAAGGAAAACGAAAAAATTGAAAGACATAATGTAGATTTTTCAGCTGTTATGTTTGTGTTTAGATAAATGGAAATGATTATGTATAATGCCAAAATATTTTTACAAAATATCTAAAGTTCATACCTCTTCTTGATGAAAACAATAGAACATCTAACACGTGGAGAAAAATAAGTATCAGACACAAGTGAATAAAAAGTCCTTTTTACATCATACTGCGGATATCTTTATTTAGCATTACGATTTCGTTTTTTTTGTAGCTTTGATGCTAGGTATAAAAAACTTCACACAAATCAATCAATTGTATAATGTCAATAGAAAAAGTTGATGAGTTCTTGAAGGCATAGATCAAAAGTTTGAGATTTATTATTTTAACTTTTATATAATAGCCCCTGAATTATTGCACACACACACACACACATAATGGAGTGTTATCATATCGCGCAAGTTCAAACAAAACCACAAGCAATTTAAAGTGACCTGTTTTCACATATTTGCCCTTTTTTTTTCAATTTTGCTAGCAGCAACTTTTTCATATAATTTAACTACTGACACCGTTAATTTATCAAATTTTTTAAAAACTAAAATAACTAAATTTGCGATTTCCTTGAATTCTTTTGCAATGCCATTACCAGATTAGTGACAAAATCACTATCATTATCGTTTCTAATCACTATCATCGTCCTATTTCTCATTCTTCTCAAGATCGTCTTTTGTACATATATATTCTATATACACAATGATTTCTTGCTAATTCGTATTATCCTTATTTCGATCTTTTCTTCGCTGTGACAATATCTTTTTTTCTTCTTCTCCGCAGAGATCAGTATTTATCGTGAATGAGAACCCCGAAAAATTTTGTATGAACAATTTTTTTCTCTTCTCTTTCTGTCTCTTCCTAGAAGGAAGAAAAGTGAAGAGAAAAAGGAGATAGAGAGAAAGAGAGAGAAAGCGAAAAAAAGATGTTTAATATGCCTATCCGGAGCAAGAAGAAAATATTATCATTTCTTTTCGGATTTTAAACGTGAAAGATGTTACAATAAGAGAAAATGAATATATAGTCATATACAAAAAATCTCTGCGGCAAGAAAAATTAAACTTGGTAAGTTGATCAACATCATCATTTTAAAAATACCTGTGATCTAATTTTTGGAATTAAATAAATGAAGTTTACAATCGAGTTCATGTTGAAATTATTATTATATCTCGGAGAGATACATGCCACAAACTAGATTTAGAATTAAATAATTTTTGCAAATAGAAATGAAAAACAAACAATTTTATTCAGTGTTTGTCATTAATTCTAAATAAGAGACAATATCTTTTAACATTTATTTAGACTATTGCCATAAAATGGATGTAGAACTTCGTTGTCCATTATGTCAAGATTTTTATCAATTACCATTATATTTACCGTGTCATCATTCATTGTGTACTGCATGTGCCATTTCCATACAACAAAACATTTCATCTGATATATCACAAAATGTAAATAATAAATTGAAACAAAATGAAAATATTGTTCGTAATAGTATAGTGGGCTCGAATCTTGGTTCAATATCGTTTGCATCCGATTTAGACAAATTATCATTAATAAGTGATAATGATTCGGGTGTTGTTATTTCCTCAGCTTCATCATCTTCATCCTGTTCATCCTCTGTTACTCGTCCAAATAGTTTGATTTCCTCACCAATTGTACCACCAGCATTACCGGAAATATCCTTGTTAAATAGCATACCGTTCACTTCATCTACAAAAAATCCATTATTAACTATAACAAAGACAACTACATCCTATTATTCAACTTATCTTCAATGTCCCGTATGTTCTAAATATATTTATATGGATCAAACAGGTATCAAAAGTCTACCAGAAAATCGTTTATTAAAAGATATTTTAATTCATTATATCGAAACAAAAAAGATAAATACAAAAGAATTATTTTCTAAATGTCAATTGTGTGAAGAAAAACCACAACAATTAAATCTAAACAGTAATTTGGATGATCAAGACAAGATAATACAATTATGTGAACAATGTTTAGTTTATTATTGTGAAAAATGTCGTGAACAATATCATCCTATGCGTGGACCATATGCAAAACATAATTTTATAAAACAAACTGATTATTTATTTCACCTTTCATCACCAACAAAAACCGTTACAAAATCTTTTATTGATAATAAAATTTGTTCCGATCATCCTAATCGTCTATTGAATCTCTATTGTATTTATTGTCATATTGAATGTTGTCAACAATGTATGCAAGAAAATCATATTCAACACGAAATACATCCAATTTCACAAGCAGCCAAAGCATATAAGGTATGTGTTCAAATGAAATGAAATGAAATGAATGAATGAATGAATGAATGCCTCCCGGCATACTGTCTTCTTCCTTTTGTTTTAATCAGTAAATAGATGACTATACTGTACCGTCTATCAATTAATTAATGCTTTTTTATTTTTATTATATATACCTTATCGTCCATAGAGAAGAGACAATGAAAGCTTATCGTCGTTCTGATAATGTCCGGTCTAAACATAGGAAATGTCTCAGAGGGATTGTGTGAGAGGAAATTCGAAAATGTATTGTCATACGTATTTTGCGTGATCTATGTACAAAATTGTTGACTGAACTTAGTTGCAAACGAGAACAATAGCTATTTTTTCTTCTAGATAATTAAAAATACCTAATTTAGATCAAATTTATTCTTTAAATTATCTCTAATTGTAAACGAATTCTCGATCTTAACGTAATAACTTACATTATGATAACATCAACGTTTTACGAGATTTTGTCTTTGTCATTTGAAGGTTTTTTTAACTGAAGTTTTTTTTTTTTTTTTTGATAAATGGTTAAAGTGCACGCACGCACACGTTAAGTCCGATTAATTTTTTCAATAACCTTTCACTTTACAACAGGCTCCGCACAGCAACAAAAATTAGACATTTTCTGTTCCCATGAGCTTTTCAATGTCACTAAAAAAAAACGGAAATGTTTCAGAGACTTTTCTTTTCAAAAAAAAAAAAAATATTTGAACATATTGGGTCTATTATACTGAATAGGCTACTTATGTACATCTGTTTCGTCCTCAATGGTATTCTATTGGAAAAAGCAATTTTTTCATGGTTTTTTTTTCTTCTTCTTCTTCACATTAGATGACCACGAAGACATTTCACATGTATTCCGTTTGTTAGAGAGTGCAGAAAGTAATTTATTAAAATAGAAATACACACTTTATACACAATCATTATTTCAAAATTAGAAATCGATCAATTTCTCTTATCATCGGTTATATTGACATGAAAATATTTATGTCTGTATGTGTGCACTTTTGAAGTTGCTATTAGAAAACATCGCTCTACTTTATTGTCCATAGAGAGCTGAGGGTAGGCACGTGTATGTATAAAATCATGCTGTTATGATTTCAATTATATTATCATTAACTAATTTGATCTTAAGCAAAGCATGTCGAGTTCAAAGAAATATTTCAATGAACGATTTCATTGTTTTTATTATAAAAAAATAAAAAAAAATTTACTTTTGATCGCGGTAATTTTATTAGACAGAGAAAGAGAGACGCTATTTTGTTATATGTATGTGTGTGTATGAAGTTGAATATATTAATGAATCGATTTTATTATATGTAAACAATAATGTGTAGAATATGACAAAAGTGTGCCAATCTAATTTTTGTTTGTGTTTAAAATTAAATATATCATTTCAAATAGAAATACCGATGTGTGAAACATCAAAGACAAATAAGACTAATCAACAATAGTCTCTTGATAATAGTTTGAATGTAATAGTTCAGTAGTGAAACTTTAAGATTATTTATCCTAAGAGAAAATTCATTTTATTATCAGAAATATTTCTATTAGAAACTTGAATTAGTACTTTCTTTTAGTTATCAAACATTTTCGAACTGAAATTGAAAAAAAATATCAGAGATTATCAATCGTGCTAGCTAATAATTTAAATAGTTTAATTTAATTCTATATCTTTTCATTTACCGTTGATTCTTATTAAAACTTTTTATAGTCAATTATTTTTTCTTGTTATAAAAGTTGAATTCTGTTTGAATGGGGTTTTATTAATTACTGTACATAGTCAAACAAAGGATTGTATACCTGACTTCTCTATACATATGTTATTCTTTATTTATTCCATTCGATTTCTCTTCTTGTATTATTGCTTTTTTACTCTTTCTTAAAACTAGACATGTAACGATGATCCTTAGTTTCTATTTAATGTGACTCATTGTTTATCTAAATGAACAATAAAGACAAAGAAAGACGTTGTTTGAACTTACTGATTCAAAAAAAAATATATATATTTTTTTACTAATTCTTATTTGAATTTTATTTTTTTCAATTTCATTCGTAGAACTTTTCTTGCTTCGAGTGTAAATTGAAAACTTGTACAGAAACACAACGATAAAAAAATACAGGAAGAACTTGAGACAACAATAATATATGGAGATATAAAAGTCGTATCAGGAAGTGATAGAAAAAGACTTATTAAGAGATATAATTGAGTTCTAGTCTAAGAAAAAAAGAGGAAAGCAGAGAAAAGAAGTGATGATCAGTAATTTTCATGATTCATACTGGATGAGACTAGTCCTCTCCTAACCATTTTAATATATCTGTGATAGAATGGAATGCATGACACACTTCGATCGACTTAAGAATCTTTACTAAACTTAACAATCAACAGATCTCAAATTGTTATGTCATCATCCTCAAACTCTTTAACAACACTTTCTTATATTCATGTCACGAATCATTGTCGTTGACTTGAGAAAAGGACTTTCGAAGCGTAAAAACTATTTAGATAGTCATATTAGTTGAATTGCAACAAAGAGTTCATCCTCGTGACAATGAATATTGTACGGTTAACCACCATGTATAAAATCCTACTTTACATATGTTAATCCATAGATAAAATGGTTAAAAAAAGAAGAATACATTTTTGTTTCTTTCATTAAACAAAGCACTAAAAAAAAAAAAAGAAACTTTTTTAGTTCCGGTGGTTCTTCTTTTCACACTTGAAACAAAAAAAGAAAAAAGTTTTGCTCAAGACAATATATGTTACATATGCTCTTCAACTCGAAAATGAATGATGTAACATAAGATGTTAATTGAACACAACGGAAATACGTAAATCACTTTGATACTCTCTCCCTCTCTCTCTCTCTCTTTCTCTTGTTCTCAAGCTTTTTTATAGTTATGTTTCTAATGTTCCATGTTCATGTATGAAGTTGTTTTTTTTATATGGTTTTCACAAGCTGATACATCGTATCGGAAACGACTTCTTTTTTTTTGTTCTTCTTCTCTATATCCTATTACCTTTCTATCAACTTCAAGCAATAACAACTCGTCTAATGTCTTTGTTGGTTGATGTGTGAAGGTTAATCGCTCTCTACTCGTTCATCTAGCCGTATATTTAATTGTATAGTATTCATATCTTTAAGAAAAAATTTCCTTGGTGTTATCGTCCTCATTGTTGTTGTTGTTGTTGTTGATATCGAGAGAAAAGAAGTCAAAAAATAACTAAAAGATTTCTTTTCTGCTTTTTTTGATTTTTTTTTTTGACTATACTTAGACTATTTTCCGAAGATAGTTACATTCAAATTAATATTTTAAGACGAAGAAATTGTTCTTCTTAGGACTAATTTAATATAAATTTTTGTTAAACATGCAATGATGTGACTTTCTATATTATCCGCAATATCTTTTGGGAATTGTATTCCTTGTCAAAAAAAGAACAAATAATATATATTATTATGTTAGACGTCAAAAAAAAGGGGAAGGAAAAAAGAAACATAACCTTCAATATAAATAATGTCAGAAGACTAATACTCAGATTGAACATCTGCATAAAATCATCACTAATGTATTGAGTCATGAACAAGTGCAAGAAAAAATCTGCAATTAATGATATTCTTAATTAATATTATAATACTGTCAGTCAAATATTCGACATTTTAGTTAAAATCCCAAAAGAATGTAATTGTATGTAAACTATTTCTGATTCTTTAAAAATAAAATAAAAGTAAATCAATATTTCTATGTAAACTTAAAATATTTTGTTTTTCATTTGTTTTAGACGCAACTGTCGACACAATTACAAAGTTTATCAGAAAAAGCTAAACAAGGAACAGAATTTTTAACAAAATTAAAAACATATCCTGATCATATCAAGGTAAATAGTTAGTTATGTTAATATATTTTGTATTGAACAGGTATAATCGTCAAAAATTCTACATATTTATTAATATTTCTTTTTTTTTGAAACGGTTCATTAAAAAAATATGTTGTGTTAGAAAGTCATCTCAGCATAAATGTATAATTAAATAAATGGCTAAGATTATATTAGAACATATTCCTATTCATTTAAGGTAATAATGTGAACACAAAGTTGATCCTTGAAGTTCATCTTTATCATCATTATTATTTGTCTATATGATTTGAGTCTATATTTTTATTAAAGAAGGTCTTCTTTTCCTTCTTCACGTATATATATATCATCAGTAGTAGTAGTAAAGTAAATAAGATTATTGTATTAGAATCAGAACACACGCATAGTACGACTGATAAGAAATAAGATAAGTTAATTTTATGCATATGTATATTGCGACGACGGCGGCGGTAGCAACTGACCGATTTTCTTATTACTCGGACACTTAGACAAGTGACACACTAAGGAAATATCGAAGACAGATAATAATGATAATTAGACAAAATAGCATATGGTCAATCTGTTATATAAGTGTGTGAAGGTTATACAAAAAAACAAAATTGATCTCTATATGTTTGTTTTTCACTTACAATTTCGTAATCAAATAAGCAATTGTTAATTACACATTATAGTCACTGTCATTAAACAAAATACAATAGTTTTTCGTTTTCTCATCAAAATAAATATGTTTGAATATATCTACAGTATTTTATTTGTCATGTTCTCTCAAATATTTGATGGGAGATATACACATATACAAGTGTAAAATAGAGCGTATTAAATTGATAATGAATCACTATCACATCTTTAGACTATTGTTTATGTCAACAATTAATAGATAATAGTTTAATGACTTGGATACAATATGTGTATCATAGTTGATTTTTAATTAAAAAGCAAAAAATTCTCATTAGCTGACATGTTTAGAATAGACAATGACATTTTTGTATAGATAGTCAGATTTCAGTCCTCGATTCTTAAGGGGTCATCCTAAATGAAAAAACAATCGATGTTTTTTTAATGTTTTAAAGTTTTGCCCCTCCTCTTCCATATGCCAAAGCGATTTTTTCGGAAAATGTGTCTTTTACCTTTACCCTCTTATAATTAGGACAGAACCCAAAAAGACTTTTCGTGTTTGAAAAGAACGATTTCTGATGTAGCATTTGCTGGTACAAGTTTCTCCATATGGTCACTGGATGAGTGATCATCGATTACCTATAATTGTGATTTCATTTTGAAAAATCTTTCAGTTTTCTCATAATATTACAGAAATACTCATCATAAACTTTGTTTTTTGCATTTTTCTTCAAAAAATGCTTTCGTTTCAATCGGTTCGACGTGACCACGTTACGGCCACCCTTAAATTTCACCCGATCCAAACTTTTTACTAAAGGTACCCAAGACCTTATCTCAGAACCTTTTTATTTATCTCACTTTCTTTCGGAGTTATAGCAAAAATACTGAAAAACTTTTTAGAAATCTGGTTTTCTAATTTTGAAAATCCTGTAAACTCAGAAAGAAAGTGAGATAAACAAAAAAGATGAACAAATGAGTTTTCTAGAAAACTTGTCAATCGTACATGATGGAGAAACTGGGTAGGTTTCAAAAGATGTGGGCCTAGTCTTTTACAACTATGATAAAAAATCCAAATTTCCAGACATTATACTTCACGCATATGAGAAAACCTCCGAAAAGTCTCACAGGAGGGAGAAATACCCTTAAATCTAAATGATTTCTTTTTGTGATAAAATCCCTATAGAAAATAGAAAATCGACGACTTGTGGAAAGCATATGTTTCATAACGTTCAGAATTCTATTTTGTCTATATCGATCAAGGAAAATAAAAAGTCATTTCTCTTTCCTGAGAATCTTCGATAAATGAGTTTCTATTTTATTTATGGTTCATTAATTCTACCATAAAATGGCCTTGTTTATTAAATTATTTCTTTTTCTGTATGTTGGGTGAACAAAAAAACATTAAGAAAATCATTGTATATGAAAAATGAACGAAGTTTATATAATAATATTAGAAATGAGCTCATCATCAAACATTATTCAATTCTCAACAGAATTGATTATATTAAATGTCGAGTTGAATTATAATCCATATAGGTTTTAATAAACATCAAATCTTATAACTGTTGGCAGGCACTTTGATAATCATTCTGATATCATTTTGAATTTATCTTCTGTATTGATACGCCATCTCAACTATTTAGTTTACTCTCAAAATGAGACACGTAACTTGAGTAACTCTATATTACATACTCTCTCAGTTACAATTACTTATGAGATAGAGATGTTTATGTTTTTTTTCTACTTTAGAAAAACTGTTCCACTTTTCAATCGTCAATTATTAAAGAAATCGATATTCTTATACAAACATTAGAAACGAAAAAACGTGAATTAGTTGATGTGCTTGAAAATGAAAAAGAGCGAAAATTTTCTATTATTAAACAACAATGTGCAGACAATACGTTTCATATTCAACGAACAACTGGATTTTTACAATTTTGTGTTGAAGCATTAAAAGAATCCGATCCAACCGCATATTTACAGGTCTGTTTTTTATTTAGAGTACAAAGATTTTATTCTAATATTTTTTATTATTGATAAACAGGTATGCCATGGATTAAATACAAAATGCAATGAACTCTATGAAAGTTTTTCGGAAGAGTTCGAGTCAAAATCTCATACATCACATGAATTTGACTTAACATTCAATGTTGAAAATTTAATGCGAGAAATTCATCGTTTACAATTTCAACAAATGAAAGGTAATTTTTTGATAATTAAGTTAGAATTAACATCGTTTTATATTAAATAATAGCATTAGTGAGACAAAACCCATTGAGTTGTTGTTATTTGAACATTATATCAGATTGATGACACGTTTGTAACTATACAAAACGAAGACATTTATTATTAGTTATGATTGTTTGTTTGCTTCTTTGTATGTCTTCATAGGGTGTCTGTACACTTTTAACAATCAATGATAACTCTTGCATGATAGGCTAACTGATATAATCAGCCTTTTTTTAGACAATACAAGATCTCATTAGAAAGTATCTGTTTAATAATATATCAAGAGTATAGATATAATAGTTCTTACATCATTGTAGTGTACAATAAGAGAATGTTTTTTATTTTTTTTTATTTTTTAAAAACAAACGGCAAACAAAGTGTTTTATGATACTTTTTTTTGATAGAGAATTTTATTATGCAATTGTGTCTGTACACATTATTATTACTATTATTAGACTTCATCGTCTATTTTGTGTGTCTATCTGCTCTTCGTATATAAAAAATTCCGTAATGTTGATTTGATAATCGTGTAATTGAATATGTATGTATGTTTGATTTAAATAATGTATGTATAAACAAAGAACAAAAGGGAACAGAACTTCAGATAGCATAGTTTTGATCGAAAAACATGTTGCTTAAACATACATTTGTTTAAATCATCATTATTTACTATGTTGAACATTGGGAAAAAAAAGATAATCCATTTAGTTTTAGATATTGGACATACGCTGACCCAATTATAGAATTCTTCTAAAAACTATAACCGCACGATTTTAAGATTTTACAAGATCTTGGCATAAAGTTGTGTAAGATTTTATAAGAACGATGGCTTATTGTACCGCAGAAATTTTGCTACCTTATGTAGGGGCGCGAATAACGGGAGGGTGTAGGAAGATGCTCACCTCCCGAATAATTGAAATTTTTTGTTTTTTTTGTAGTGAATGATTAGAAAATCAGTCCTTTCACAATACTTCTAGAAACAGGGCATAGCAACACGATATCAGTTCTGTGGAGTTCATGAAAATATTTTTCGGCTTTCGTACTACATCGGACGACTGTTTTAATAGAATCCGCCTCACTTCGGAAAGACATTGACTTTTACACCCTCCTCCTCCCCTAATATTCGTCTCTTATTTGCGGTCCTGACTATATGTAGTACATATTGATCTAGAAGATAAAACTTAAGAGTTTCCTTACTTTACATCAGCTGAGCGCAAAATAAAGTATGCCGCTTAGAAACGTGACTAAACACGATCCTAGAACGTCAGGATCCTACTTATGTTAAAAAATATTAAAAAAAGAAAAAACGAGAACAGATAGGAGTTATGAATTCTTTTAAGATCTTATGATTTTGTAAGATGAAACTATATCTTGCAAGATCATTTAACAAAACTTACAGAAGTTGCAATTGATTACACTGTGAGGTGTTTAGTTGAAGTATATGTAGATCTTTGTGTACACATCTCTTCCTGTTTCGCCCTGACCCAACTAATATGTATGTAAAACACGGAGACAATCAATTTATTCTTTCTCTTTAGTTCTATGACCTGGTATAGAGACATGTATACACTTTCTCTTACTAACTGGAGACAGACATGAACAAATATTTTTCCACTACATATCTAAACTCAATTCTCAAATATTGTAAACAAACCACTGTCTCTCATCATCTAACAAATTCTTTGTATACGGCACACAATTGATAAAAACAAATTTTTTTATATTATAATATAATAAACTATATATTTTTGTTTGATCATATCATAGATGAGAGAATAAAATGTTCAATAGTTGAGATAAAAATGTGTTTATGTACAGATGTGTTTATATATATAGACGAGACTTATATAAATTCTTCTTCATTTTTGTTTTGATCTACAGTCTTTTAGCAATACAAACATCGTGTGCGGTGTGTATAGTGTCATACTTATGCAGTCTATTTATTTACAAGATTTCATACAATAACATTTAACTTCGATCTATTCAAAGAGTGAAAGTGTTGTAGATTCAAGTTTATGCGCACTAATTTCTACCCACACATCCTCTAGATGAATGGACAATTCTATCCTTTTTAGTGATTTATCTAGTGTGTGGACCGGATGGGTGACGCCCATCCGAAAATAAATAGTTGATTTCGTTTTAGCAAAATTCTTTTAGACAACAGCCCCTCCAAAAATGCCAACCGCCCACTAGAAAAACGAAACCTAGATAAAATACTGATTCTTTCCAGTACCATAGATGAATCAGTTATGAGTATGGCAATTTGTCTCCTTTTTCTGAATCCCACCGTTTTCGTTACTTTATTTCGTTCATAAGTGTAATATCAAAAAAAGACTTATTAGATGCAAGCCTCGTTATTCACAATAACTGACTCGAGAAATCAATTTATTAGTACATGTGTAATTAAAAACCCATTATAGTAGTAGAAATATACAGATTATATCAAGATGATATATAAAATCGGATGATGTGTTAATATCTCATGTTATTATCAATATAGTTGATGTTTTTGTAGTTCATTCACACACACACACACACAGTTACATCATTAAATATATTATTGTTGAATTTTTTTCCTTTCATTAGTCTCTGAAGTCGATGTTTAACAGATTTTGACAGTTACTTATTAATAATAGAAGAAGAAGAAGAAGAACTTTAGATCTTTATTGCTGATTATAAGTAAAAATACCGCAAAAAAAATTTACACATGCTGATCTAATAGAAATAATAACAATTTTTACATCATCATCAGCGGGGGTGATTGCAGATATTAGAAACGTTGCACGTGGTTTACATTACCTATTTTTTTGTTACAATGACCCAAGGATCTTTTGTTTACGACCCTGACATTGACATCCGACATCTGAAGCGCATTAACTACACATATCTGAATCTATATTCAGTTCATTATTCTACAATATGAGATTTTTTAAAAAAAATCTTGTCACTAAAAAAGAATAGAGCTAAGCAGTTTTTCATATCTTTTTTCTTTCTAAATGACATGCGTTAAGTCAGAGAGTGGTAGTGAACCTTCTAAGAATTAGAAATATTACTATACCTTTGTCTAGCATTTTTATACTATAGATTCCAGCCGTTCATTCGAAAACAAAGGACATTAAATGTATTACTAATATAATAACCAATAGTAAATTCAATTTATTATTTGCTCTAGAATTGTAAGCTGTTAAATGTAAAATAATAAAATTAAATTTTCTAACAATTAAACGTCCTTGATATTTGTATTTGATTATCATCAGAAGAAAGACGAAAATGAAACATCATTCAGATAATCGAATAAATAAATATTGAATTGTCTCTCTTTATATATTTATTTAACTATATTCATCCAACCACGTTCTTATAGTTTTTATAAGGAATAATATCTTGTCTATTTCTCTATGTTTAGCTCCATCATCACCGCGTTTTAATGTTGAACAATGTATGTGTGATGATTCCGGTTCTGGTACACTTGCGTGGTTTACAAGAGATCATTCAACAATTCAGAGTTTTGTACTTGAATTAGATGATGGAACATTATCAAGTGACTTCCGTGTAAGTAAATGTGTTTATTCTTTTCGAATGGAAAAATTCTAACGGTTAAGAAAACATTGTTTTGATACAAATGAAGAATATATACAAATAGAAAAACGGCGACGACAAACTTTTTTAACTATACAGGTGATTTTTATTCATTCATTTATTATTTTTCTTCTCTCTTTTTCTAATAGGAAGTCTATTGTGGACCAGAAACAATGTGTGCAGTTGATGGACTTGCACTTAACTGTGTCTATAATGCTCGAGTAAAAGCGTATAATCAAGCTGGAGAAAGTCAATATAGTGAATGTATAACGTTGCATTCCGCTTCCGGTATGAACATTGTTTTCTTTTTATGAGACATTTAAAATAATTGTATTTTTGACCATAACAAAAGTAAAAATCGTTAGTTTTCTCGTATCGAACGACTCATCTGTGATGTTGTTACAGCAGGATATTGAACAAAATGTGGGACTTAATTTGACTCCTTTGAAATCCTTCTGTACACGTGTGAAGATGATTGTTTACAAAATTTCATGAAAATATTCAGTTACCACGGGTGTACGACTATGAAATGTTAATAACATTTACCCATGTGTATCATCAAATCATTATGAATTGAACTAATTTATTGTGAACTATCTTTCGCATCTTAGGACTCAATAGTAGGTTTTTATTACACTAAAATCTTTTAAATTTTTCTATTTTTCAGTCTACTGGTTTACATTCAATCCACGAATTGCTCATCCTGATATCACATTTTTGAGTATTAATTCTGACTCTCTAACATGTCAAAGTTATGAAGATCGTATTGTTTTGGGTAATGTTGGTTTTCGCAAAGGTGTCCATTATTGGGAGTTAATTATTAATCGTTATGATGACAAACCTGATCCTGCGTTTGGTGTAGCCCGTTTTGATGTGTCAAAAGATCATATGTTAGGTAAGTTGTTAAAAAATGACTATTATCATCAATGATATTCAATTGAGCTCACTTATTCTTCAGGTAAAGACTCAAAATCTTGGTGTATGTACATTGATAGTGAACGATCGTGGTTTATGCACAATGGACAACATACAAATCGTCAAACTGGTGGTATAGGTGTTGGCAGTGTAATCGGACTATTGCTTGATTTGAATAATGGAACATTGAGTTTTTATGTGAATGATGAACCCCAAGGACCAATTGCATTTACAAATCTTCATGGTGTATTTTATCCAGCCGTCAGTTTAAATAAAAATGTACATGTAACTCTACAATCGGGCTTGGATCCACCAGTCGATTGAACCTTTGTTTATACTCAATGTTTGATTTTTATCTCTCCAGCATGTGCATTCGTATTTGTATTTGTGTATGTGTACGTCTCGTATCAGATAAAGATGCATTTGGAAAAAAGCTTTAAAAGATGATCTCAATTCTTTTCTTCTCGTATTTTGCTGTTTTATACGAATTATCGTATTCTTGTTTTCAATTAATTGTTTCTATACACATAAATATTTTGTATGTTGTTCATATTACCTAGTAGAAAAAATAAATAAATTATTTAATGAAATTTAATTCAATTAATAAGTAATAGGTAACGAAATTTCGATATTCACTAAGCAAAGGTTTTCTGATTGGCATATCTTCTAAGAGTTCGAGTTTCAAGATACCAGCCGTATTCATGAAATTTGATAAAAAATTGGCATACTAATGGCAAAATACTGATATTAGTATAAGATTTTTTAAACCTACTTTTACCCGTTCATATCATTAAAAAATGTCAGAGTACCAGCAACTAACCCAGGTCAAAAATCTTGAACCAAGATCTTGATTAAAACTTGAAAGATTTCTCAAGTTTCTGCACAATGATTTCAAGATCTTAGGCAGATTTTTGAACATCTGTCAAGATCTTGAGCTCATCTTGCTGTTCAAGATTTTGACAATTTTTGTTACATTTTCTGTCTGAACTGATAATGAAAAATTAGTTAATCAGTTGATTAAGTAGCCAGAATCTTGACAGGTTTTCGATATTTGCACGGAATCTTGATGAAATCTTGAATAGTTTTTCGGGTGCATAATGTATTATTTTCAATTATTTTTTAGTTTTTATCTACTGTATCCTACAATACTAGCTCTACAGCATTGCACTGTACTGTCACACTCAAAGAATTTTGTACAGATTTTCAATTTCTGCAAGACGTGGGTAAACAGCTAAATATTCGCAGAGTGTGAAGAGAATTCTTTCTTTATCTAATTAAATTAAAGATCGGCTTTGCAGACGGGCTACAACTTCGGAAACTCTCGAGAGTTTCCGAAGTTGTAGCCCGAATAGTGGATTCTCTATTCTTTATTTGTAAAATTATGCTATACGTCGATGATGTGTATAAAATAAAAGATTAGCCAACAATCATTAAATTTATTCATGTTTATATTATATATCGCAAAAGAATTAAGAGAAGAAACAAAAGTCAGCAAACCCAGGTTATAGCCTATAACTTTTATTATCGCACTAGTAGAAAAAGGTTTTTTGTATTAAAAGTTAGTAAAATTCAAGTTTAAGAATAGACACTTATTCTCACTCCCCGAGAAACAGCTGGCAGCTCTCGAAACTAATCAACCATTTTTTATAATTAAAATAAATCTCCATCCAAGTTCCATGAAAGTACATTGACACTAGCGCTCAGAAGGAATTATTTTTTAATAAAGGCTTCGTCGCCATGTTAGTAGTGCAGCTTATTCCATGTGATTGGTTACCGACATCTTTCAAAGAATGCTGGTCATTGAGTGAAAGTGGAATGAGTCGAGTCGCGAAATATCTGTCAATTATGGCGGAAGAATGTCCAATCTTGAACGAAATACGTGTGAATGTCTGCAAAAACGCGAATATACTAGCACAAAAACATTGATACAAAAAAAGATATTGCGACCTTAATCAATCTTTTCTCTTGGCACTTTCAAGTTGCTTGTACCTGTTAGATCGCGATAGTTTGCTTTTACACCCATTCGATTTGCTCCAGCTTTTGCTAGCGTTGGCGTGCAAAGTAAATAAAAACTCAATGAATAATTCATATCTGTAGGAGTATTGGATGCTTTCAATATCGTGTTATCTTTGAATCCTGTTTCTAAAGCTTTTTAAAGAAAGTTTTATCAACACATCACGAGGTCAAGGTCATGCACCTGCAGCATTAAACGCATGAGCTTTCTATAGTTGAACTAGCAACCACGTGTGCAAAACATTTACGTATTGAACGTATAAAATTCATGCATGTTCGCTACACAATTTCACGCGAGAAAAATGCCATAAAAAACTTTTACTGAGCAGTTTGCTCGCGTTTTTGTGTGAAAAGCTTTTCTTCTCGTGCGGCCATATGGTATTTTACAGCATTCACGCTGTTATCTACTAAAATTTCCTCATGGGCAGTGTAATATACATCATTTTTTGTTTACTTTTTAGATGGATCAGTCGTCTGATCTTGTGCCACCAATGATGAATTTCGCTTTTCCTTCGACAAACAACAATGTAAATGAACAGACAGTCAACCCAGGTGTCCTACCCCCACTTACTCCATCTTCTCTTCCCGGTGGGACACCTGATGCGGTGCATGATCAAAAGAAGCAAGAACAGCAAATTCAACCTGGATTAATGCCAACTGCACAATGGCCTCCTCAAATGTATCCCGGCTATCCGCCACAATTTATGTTTCCAGGATACGGAATGCCCTACAGTGCTTATCCTCCAATGTTTCCTGGCACCGATCCTAATCGTCCACCATCACGTCAGAGTGTTTCAAATGATTATCCTTCATCTTCAAGATCGATAGTAAATGGCAGTAGTGGCGGTCAGCCTTCTGCTTCATCATCTGGCACTGCACAACCACCACCTTTCATACCTCAACAATATCCAGGTAGTTAAACTGTTTTATGAGAAAAGTGACAAAATCAAATTGTTTTATTTATTTCTAGGTTACATTAACCCTGGCATGGCTAATCCGTGGTTTGACCCGTATTGGGCGCAAATTTACAGCACTTATCCACATCCGTATGGATATGGTTATGCAGATGAAATGATGAAACAGTAAGGTTTTTACATTAATAAGCACACATTTTTTCTGTTTTAGATTATGCATGCGTGTTTATGAATGTGCATTTGATTTATTTTTCGTATTTCAGTTATAAAAATTTGGCTTATCCAGAAGATGATCGTTATAGTTATCATTCAAATTATTCTCAAACGAAAGCGTCCCAACATAGTTCATTGCCCAACTGGGGTTCGGTTGACTCACTGAATGATCAATACTAGTAAATTAGTTTTTGTTTGCATATAATTGAGATCTGCATGGAACACGATAAAAGACTTGTATGTGTGGAACATAATTTTTCTTTTATTCAACTTTTAGTCAGAATGGGTTTGAATCAAGGCCTCCACAAACACAATACCAGCAACCACAACAACAATTAAGATCACAACATCCACAACGAGTACATCCTAATTCACAATCGAATGTTCAGGATCAAAGCAAATTATTATTAACTACAACAAAACATCAAACGCCAGCACAGCAGGTTCAATCAAAAAAAGAATCGTCTGACGAGGATGAAGACAGTGATGATAGTGAGGAAAGTCAACGATCGGAAGATGATGCTAGTAGTGATCGTTTTAGTATCAAGTCTGATTTAGCTGGAGTTGTAGAACCGGCTGCACGACGAACACCCTTCTTATTTACTCGTCCACATTTGCGTGTGAGGTTTTCGTTCGATCAAATGATTAAAGTTTTACCGCAATCTCCCAGTGACACTGAACAACCAGCGACAGTTGAAATTGTTAATTCAAATGTATGCATTTGTTACAAATGAGATATGGAAAAACTACTGCTTAATGTTTTGTGATTTTAGAGTCTTTACAATCATTCACAAACACTTGCCGACGAACGTCAAATTTTAATGGATTTTATCGGACCACTGACTGCGTAAATTTTTTTCTTACTAAATAAAAATAAACAGAGTCTGACATCTCTTGTATTAGCTAAAATTCATTGTTTTTTAATATTTTAGTTCGACAGCTAAACAAAATGTTATACGTTATTGTGAAAAACAAGCTCAAAGTGTTTTAAAAACGAGTACAGCTATTGACAAAGATGCTTTATCGTTATTATGGCAATACATGGCACTGTTAGTGAAGACGAACGCTGTAAGTAAATAGAAAAATAGCTAGATATGAACTTAAAAATTGAATTATTAAGACAATTGATGTTCGTGTCGACATTCCAAAATTATTATGGACAACAAGTAGTAGTAGTAGTAATACGGAAGCTATTTCGAATGATCAACATTTACTATCATCACCTACAATAAATAATCATCAAGCATCTGTACAAGATTCATTACGAGAATTTTTGGCACTTGGTGAAATCGATAATAGTATAAAATGTGCTTGTGATAATCATCTGTATACTCACGCGTTAATTATTGCCTATCAGACGGACGAACGTTTATTCAAAAAAACCATGAATGAGTACGTTAAAAATGGAGATGTTACTATTTTAGTAACTTAAAATTAAATATATTTATTTTCATACTTTAGTATTATTTCGAATCTCGGTAATGGTGATGTTTTAAAAACCTTTTATGAATTAGGATCTGGATTACCACCATCCGTAGTCACTGTAGGTTTTCTTTGATGTAGGTTGTTCATGTACAATAATTTTGTATAGTCATTGTATTGTTATAGAATGTAACAAAACCACATTATGGCGATTGGCGACGACATCTAGCTGTTATTCTAGCAAATCGCACAGAATCAAATGCATCATTTGTTGATCAATGTATAAAAACGATGGGTGATACACTTGGTGAGAGAATCACTTGTCACAATTTCTCTATTAATATGTCAAAACTACTATTTTTGTTTCATAGGCTCATCTGGTCGTCTCTATTCAAGCCATTTTTGTTATTTAATAAGCAATGTGCCATTTGGTTCTTACAGAAATAACACAGATAAATTTGCTTTGCTTGGAAGTGCTCATGTCGGGTATGTGTCATTATTGTCAGTGAACGAAAAAATTTTTTTTCTAAGATTTATATTTGTTTAGACAATCTTATTTATCATTTGCTCAACTACCTAATATACAGTTGACTGAAGTGTATGAATATGCTATTCGGAAGTGTTATTCACTACCAACTTTTACTGTGAGCCTCTCATTCGATATTGTTTGTATCTAAAGACGAAAAGAAGAGTTCTCTATTATTTATTTTAGCCATTGAAAATCTATTACGCATCTAGATTAATCTTGCATGGTTTACGACGAGAAGCCCTTTCTTATTGTGGAGAAATTGGTCAAACATTACTTCGCCAAGAAAACTTGACTCATGTTCAACTATCCGATTTACAATTGCTTATTATGGTAGGCTTTATTATCATTTCTTTTCTAAACGTAACGTATTTTTGTTTCAGATTGGCGAAAAATCACGTGTATCTAATCGAAATTTTCAATTAGATCCATCCACATATAAAGATCCGACATGGTTAGTCGAAATAAGACGTGTCTATCAAACAATACTTGTAAGTTTTTGGTCTGTTCACAATGTCAACTAAGTGAATTATTTATTATTTCTTTGTAAGGATAAAATAGTCCATAAAACAACATCACAAATAGTAGCAGATAACCAATTTCAGAATTTCCAGAAGCCAGTGGAAAATTGTAAGTTTACCAGTTAGTTTTTTTGTATAAAGTTTTCAAGCACCTGGCGTATTTAGATATCGAAAATACAAGAAAAGAATCAAATTCATTTCTACCATCACCTTCGTCGCCAAAAGCGACTGCAGCTCAACAGCCAGTACAACCAGTATCACTGCCTCCTCCCTCCTCAATCCAATATAACTATACAAACAATGTAAGTTTCATTTGTTTTGGTTTACTATCATTCATAGCCGTTTTCAATTTCAGCCACCTAACAATTATCCGGCTGCTCCTATTTACAACGAACCGGTGGTGCACCCACAAAACCCGCAAACTACGCCAGGAACAAACTATCACAACCACCCAACACGTAAATATAAAATGCTTCTTATCGTCTCTGTAATTATGAGTAACATTTTCTCCAGTCCTTCAACAGCTGGAAATATAGAGTATCTTATGAGGAAACTATCCCAAGTGTCCTACTGTCTCTTCTTAAAGCATATTTGATTACTTTTGATACTAATCATGAATCTAATATTCAGTTTTGCTCTTAAGACTTTTCCCCATGGATCTTGAGTAATCCGATTATAGAGATCCAACACCAATTCCTATTTGAAGAAATTCCGATACAGCCAGTTTCTAGGGCGTGTTGAGTTGTCCACGTAAAAAGTGTCTGGGCACTAATGAATTGGCTTATATTGAAATGTGATGTTTTTACTAGTATACAAACTAAGGTTTTCAGCATTTTCAATAAATTAAATAGTAAAACTATAAATATTTCAATAAAAGCCCATTCACTAGTGCCCAAAAACTATTTACATGGACAGCTCATCATGCTCTAGAAACTGGCTGTAGCAGAATTTCTTCAAATAGAAATTGGTGATGGATTTCTAACTAATATTATTCTAACTTTCTTAAATATGCATAAAGAAGAGAACAATTGGACGCTTAGGATAGTTCCCCGTCGCTGGTATTTTTTGATAATAGCATATAAATTTCAGTCGATATGAATCAACAACCGCCTTATTATCAGCAAGTAATACAACAAGATCAACCACAATTTAATGGACAAGATCGGCGGCAAATAGCAGACCAGCAGAAGTATCAAGTACAACCTCCAACAAATCAAGCTGAAATGCCTCGACAACAGGACCCAGAACATCATTACCATCAGCACCAATTTCAAATACCATCACAGCCTTTTATTCCAAACAGTCAGGCATCATATCCGACACAAAATCAAATAACAGCAGATCAATCATGGTATCAACCACTACAAGTACAACCTGAACACCAACCACATCAGGAAATACTTCAATCAGATAGAGGAAGATTACCATCGAACGAAGTGAGTGCAAACACTGCATTAGAAAGAAAAGAGTAAGAGAGAGAGAGAGTGTGAGAGAGAATTATTGCGCCTGTTTGATTATAGTTTGTGGATGCAAACTCTAGACGATCATCTGTAATTACGTTTAACAGCGGCAGTTTCTCATCGTTGCATTGGCAAGGACAAAAAAACCAAGAAGAATTGCGTAAATTCTCAGATCCCTCTGTACAAGCACTCTCGCAGCCGTTAGGTGGCACTGGCAATATGATAAAGAATAATCCAGCGTTATATAGCAACCATTACGATCCTAATAATCAGTCACAGTCAATACCGTATCCAACAAAACTGACGACACATGCGGTAGTTTCCTAATAACTTTGTAACTCAACTAATATAATCAATGTCAATATTTTGCGAACATGCTTTATTACTGTTCTTCATTACAATTATTCACACGTTTGCTTTCGGCGTAAAATAATACTTTGCACTCTGTTATTATATATATTCTTTTTATTTTTAACCGTTTTGATGTTCTAAACCGCGGCGGCTTGCTTCGTCTTTTTTTACAAAGCTTCTTTTTGTTTTTTCATATGCTATGAAGTATTTTCAACATCCTCTATTCTTCTTATAGGTACGTGACGAATATCCTACAAACGATGGTCAAGTACTGCAGAATGGTCACCCAGCTAAGAAATCCTATTCCTTTTTTGAGGATGAGATTGAGGTATAGTTTAGCGGATTGCATACTACTTTTTTTTTAGAAATATATTTGTAGTTATATTTTGTCTTTGCAGAACAAAGATAATAAAATCAAAGCACCATCATCAACAGAAAAATCGGATGCAAATTCAAATCCACAACAGCTTAAAAGTGGCATGATGAGTGGACTTTGGGGGCGAATCTTTCCGAAAAAGCTACCTCAAGCGCACTTACCAGATGATAAAAATAAAACTGTAAATATTTGATAATTAGGACTTTATCGTCTGAAAGTAATTTAGATAACTTTGGTTTCTAAAACAATTTTTTAGTTGAAATTTGATGAAAAAACCCGTCGATGGATTGACACAAGCAAGTCCGCGGCTGAAAATGAACCAACATCAATCAAACCACCACCCCTAAATCAATCATTTGCATCATCTGGGGATAATCCAAATACAATTTCATCTCAACAACCTCCACATTTCAATTCCAATACTTCAACATCACAGCAGCTTTTACAACCTGCACATCCTAATTCAATGCCAAATGCTTCATTCACAAACCAACCGCAAACACGATCAGTTAATTTCAATTCTGCGACAACGACAACAGTACCGAACCAACTTCAGGCGCAACCAGTACAGCCGAATGTTCAAATACATCCACAGATGCAACAATCACAGTTGCCACAACCACAACAATTTAATTCTCAGATGCAGTCTCAACAACAGCAACCAGCTTTGTCAACAAACAATATCAGTCAACAACCATCTACTAATCAACAGGGTCAGACTGCACAATTATCACAAGGTCAACAGAGACTCCAGAATATAAGAGAAAAGCAGAAGCAACAACAACAACAAATGCAAATGCAAACATCATTAAACTCATCAAATCAATATTCTTTGAAAAGTCGCCGTAAGTTATTTTCAAGATTTTTAAATTTAAATCACAGCTAAAGTCAAAATGATGCCGGATATCTTTTTTGTATATTTTTAGAAAATCAATCACGTTATGTTGATATCCTAGCATCGAAAGCGGCACCTGTCAATCCCAATTTATCGCTGAACGATTTTGGTGCAACTCTACCAACATCGACATCATCCAATTATTTTATTCCAGGTAATTTGATACATATTTTTTTTTTGTAAAGCGAACTTCCTTGCTTTTGCTTCTTTTTTCAGTGTTCTTTTTTTTCGCTCGCTAGTTGTTAGTCGCCGCATCATTTTTTTTATGCTATAGATAAACAAACATTGTTAAAACAAAATATGTACGATCGTGATGTTAATGACGCTGAAGTATCATGGATTAATTTTCGTGTAAATTTTTTAATTTCTATTGTTCAATTTGTTTTGTAGTTTTGAAATGTAGTGTACATTATTAGCATGTCCCAAAACGCATGATTAGACGTTATTATTAATCAAAACTTCGAATTTAGTAGTATACTTAACAAAAATAATTCAACATTATAAGTCGAGATCGATCATCACTTTAAAGATTAATTTTCATGATCTATCGCTCATTTCACGCTTATATCCACACTTTATCACTTCATATGTATATACATATATATTTTTTATTAAGGTTGAGAAATAATTGTAGTTTTTTGCTCACATTCGAATGAAAACCGTCCACTGCTTAGATCTAGAGTCTCCGAATTTGATTTACGATTTTTTTTTACGCACGTTCTTTATTCAGAAAAAAACAACAACAAAAGATATATTATTTTTTGCATCATTAAGCGTAAACTGTTTTCTCTGGTGTATGATTATCAAGTTCTCTTGGATTTTTAAGTAAAATATCCTCAAACCTGTCTTTCACTACTCTGCTGATTAAACAATGACTATTTTGTATATAAACTTTTGCTTCTTTCCTCTATTCTAGGACCAAACAACAACGTGGACACAGCCAGTTGATAAACTATATTAGACATATAAATGTATATTTCTACATGGAATAAATTATTTGTGATCATGAATTCTAAAACAAGACGAAACAAAGACAAAGACAAATCCGCACTGTGTATCGTTTATTTCTAATTTATTTGATTAACTTTTATTTATGTTATTGTTATTTTTACTTATTTGGGTGATTGTGACAAATTTTTTTTTCTAGTGGAAATGGGATCGTTAACTTCGTATATCAATTCATTTTTTTATTTTATAAGTTACACTTATCTAATGTTCCATCAATGTGCAGGTTATTCAGTCTTCTGATATAGTAAATTCACATTGGATAAGATCAGTGTATAAAACAGTTATCTTTTTTTTCTTCTCTATATTCTCTCTCATACATTGTAGGTAAATGTCTAACAACTGACTAGTTACACAATAGTTTATGTTAAAGAAGCATTATCCTAATGTACTTATTTATAATTGGTTCCTTCGTTCGTTCGTTCGTTGCTTTTATTTCTAATTTTTAAATATATATATATATATATACATATAATATGTGTCATTGTCTAAAAAACGTTTTTGTTCTAGGAATATTTTTCTTTTTCTTTTCATTTCGTCGACGTTTTTGCTTTTTTGTTTTTGATTTTTGTTTCTTGTTTTATATTGTTATCTTTTATTGTGTTCTTGCTAAAACAAATACCGGAAAAATAAGCACATATGAATGTACCTGTACTATGGATCCACCGATTATAATATCTTAAATACACTTGTTTTTGCTCTTTAAATACAAAGATTTTCGAGATAAGTGTATTTTTTCACATTATTTATAAACTTTTGTTTCGTTTCTTTCTATTTTTGCTTTGATTCAAGAGTACATCCGTGTAACAAAAAGAAAAACACGTATAATCCAACAAAATGTTAGAAATAAATTTCATTATCAATTGAAAAAGAAAGTAATAAAATCGTTCATAATTGATAAATTATTATACGATTAATTTTTTGTCATCGAATAACATGCCTCGAATTACAAGAATCAAGATACACGTACGGTCGTAGCATCAAATTTCAATATTCAATGTTTTATTATTAAGAAAAATATACTGTGACACTCATGAAAAGCTAATATATCAAAAAAAAAATGTAATTTGTTAGAAAAAATAATCAACTCCTGTTATATTTAACCATAGAAATAGTATCACAATCATAAAAATTGATAAACTGGAACAGCGAACATTTTGGATGTTCGTACTGAGAAAAAAAACAACGAAATTCCAAAAAAAGAGCACACCAGAATTATGCGGGTAGACAATAAATTCCATTTCTACCTCAGAAAGAGTGAAAATGAGAAAAACAAGCGTACACACCCAGAATTGCTCGTTTTTCATAAGCATCCATCCTGAGAGCGTCATGGATTCTGAGCATCCATCAATCTAGGCGCCCACTTCTACTTACATTATAAAAAAATAGTTTTACGAATGTAGAAGGCAAAAAAAAAATAGAGGCATACAAGATGAGAATCTGATCACCATTCTTTCAACCTGAGTTATTGAAAATTATATTTAGAAAAAATAAAAAAATATGTAGAAACCGTACAAGAAATTATGAATATACTAAATTATTTTCTGTGCTAACATTAATAATATAAAAACTCTTCATTCACTGACACTGTTTAAATGGGAATTTTGTCTTTTGGATTTGAACATATTTCTTATTTTCTAGAAAGAAAAGAATTCTAAATTTAAAAGAAATTGTTATAGGAAAGTCATGTACTTACTCTTTAATGAAGATGAGATAAAAACTCAAGATTGTGTTAGACGACGACTACGTTCTAATATTTCATCATCATAATGATAACGTGAATAATAGTTGTGCCATGGTTGACTACTCTATAAATATAAGAATCATGTGTAAGAATAAGTTTTGTATTACAATATATCACTTACATAAGAGGTTAAATTATGTCTTAATGTTGTTAGAACTTTATCACTTAGCTCAGATGCTGGTGAATAACCATATCGATTTCGAAATGAGCTTTTCAATAATGTTGGACTCGTTGAACGATAGTGGGATCCTAAAATAACTAATTTATTTCAATTCTTGCTGTTAGATTGTATCAGTAAATATTACACATTTAATTAATAGATGGAAACGTAACAGTTAAAATAAAATAATTCGAGCGTTATTTTCAATTATAAACATAAGAATGTACATCTAATACAAAATCTAATGATTCTCTGTTATCAGATGCAAATTAAAACTGTTTCTATAGAAGAAATTAAATTTTCTTTACACTGCAATAGTAAAACGTTTTCTACTATACAACACTCGAAGGAGCGGGGGTGTTTTCTATAGGAAAACGGCCCCCCGCTGTTTTTGATTAATTTGTAGCTAATGGTGGTGATAGCTAATCATATCCACAGTTATTTTCAAATGTTCCTTTTGATTTCTTCTTTCTTGTAGCCTAGGAAACATTTTTTGAAAGTTGATTCGTCAAGAAAGTAAACTTTTCAGTATTTTTGATTGTTTTTACTTACTAAACGTGTACGAATTTGATGCTATATGTCAATAGATAGAATTTCTCACGGGCTACAAAAACTGTGTTTTTACAATATTTGTTAACTATTAATGTACAGAGAAAATTATCAAACTTTGACAGAGTACCAAATCTAATATCATATAATCCATAGTATTTTGATTTGATGAAGGTAATTCAACTGCACAACAGAACTAATTTATATACTATATTCGATAGATCTTGAAAAACTCTATAAATCTATATACTTTTCTTGAATTTTGGGTGAGGCTAGTACACGAAAAAGTTGAATTAAGATATTATAAGTCGGAATTATGCCCTAATTTGCAATTTTCTTCATCAGAACTCATCTTTTACGCAATAAAAGTATCATATTCGGAATCAGAGTCAAAAATCGAGCCAAATGATACATATTTCAAAATTTTTTGTTGATTTTCATTTTTTGATGAAAATCTCATATCAGTAAGTATAAGGCCTGAAAATTCAAAAAACACTAAAGTGGTCAAATAGGATAAAAAAGTACACCATTCGACTCGATTTTTGATGCTGATTCTGAATATGATATTTGGTGGATTATATGATATTAGATTTGGTACTCTGTTAAAGTTTGATAATTTTCTCTGTACATTAATAGTTAAGAAATATTGTAAAAACACAGTTTTTGTAGCCCGTGAGAAATTCTATCTATTGACATATAGCATCAAATTCGTACACGCTTAGTAAGTAAAAACAATCAAAAATACTGAAAAGTTTACTTTCTTGACGAATCAACTTTCAAAAAATGTTTCCTAGGCTACAAGAAAGAAGAAACCAAAAGGAACATTTGAAAATAACTGTGGATATGATTAGCTATCACTACCACTAGCTACAAATTAATCAAAAACAGCGGGGGCCCGTTTTCCTATAGAAAACACCTCCGCTCCTTTAGAATTCTGATTTTTTTGCAAATGTGAAAGATGTAACCGACAAATTGTGCAGTTTTTATCTACATTTTGTGTTTAAGTGATTCTTAAACACGAAAAATGTATAAATGTATTTGAGTGTGCAAAATTAAGATCGAAAAAGTCTTTATGTTATACGATACCATCATTATAATAATCGTAATCTAAATCGCTGGCACGATGGTTGATAGAATTGTATAATTTTGTTACGTCACTCTCATCATAATGGTTTATTGGAGACGATGATCGTGAACGCTTTCGTTGTTGTTCGTCATTATCTCTTGTTCGAGATCGTGACACATGTCCGAAATCAAGCGATTGAGACGTTTTTGGACGTGAATATGATGGTGTTTGAGCACGAATAGGAGATGAGATATGTTTAGAAAATGATACGTTTCGGCCAATAACTGGTGAGATAGAACGTGAACGTGATTTTTGTGCATTGCTTTCATTGTACGAATAAGATAAAGCACTTTCTGGTCTCAATTGACTGAAATCATAAAATTAAAAATACATCTTGTGTGAATAGTTCGCTACCACTATTGATGACAGTAATAGCAAAGTACTTACGAAAATGTGAAATCCTTGATAACAAGACCATCGTTCAATACAATGTGAGATTTCGGTTGCCGTCCGATTAAACTATTGTCAACCTAAAAAGAATAAATAAAGTTATAAATACCAATTACCGAGTTAGCAGTACTCTAAACATATGAATATCCACCCACATGTTTTACAACGAATGGTCGTCGACCATTTGTTTTGTCAAGAGGCACAATGTGTTTCACTTCACCTGGAATAGCCAACTCATTCAATTTTTCTCTTGTTTGACGCTTTCCATAATCATTTTTGATAGCGGACGAAATTGTATGATTTGTTAATGATGAATTCATCAATGATCTCGATATATTACCCGATATAGGCCGTAAACTATATAAAAAAACAGATCAATATGTGATGAATCAAATTTTAGTTGTGGAATTCTAACCTATTATTGGCTGATTGGGCAAAATTAGGAGATTTTGACCGCTTAACCTAATCATCGAAAAAGAAGATGCAAATAAAAAAATTATAAAATCTATATAAAAACGTACAGATCTAACAGACGTGTTATTTGATTTTGATAACTTATTCAATGTACTCAGTTCAACGCCTGTTATTTCGGTAATCGAAGTGCTCGTTGAGAATTCAAAAGACGGTGAGATACCGGGAAAATCGATAGTTCTACTCAACAACACGTAACGTTTTAAACCATGATATTGAACGTTATTGGATGTATATGGATAAAGAAACTCTTTTGCACTTCTTTCACATGTAGCCAGCACTACAGTGTCATAAACAGAACTAGTACTCCGTTGTATAAGCTCAATAAGTATATGTTCGCCTAGAAAAAGACATTTATTTACCAGAGCTTATTTTGTTCATCAAATAAGTGAGCTTACGTTCAAGACGTTGGACAATATCAGATGGATCGACACAAAACTTGAAAATCTGCGAACAAAGCACAAGAAATTTTGACATTAAAAAATGAATAATAGACAATAGAATACAAACTTTATCGAAATATAACTTTTGCTCAATGTGAAGAGGAAAATAGGGTGCCATCAATCTTGTTTTCTTATGTGTACCAAGCAAGCATATATTCACATAAACGTCTCCTTTCATATCAAGCTTTGTTCCCGGCGCATCAACCTAAATTTTGAAAGGTTTGAAATTTACGACGTGCTAGTGTACACAACACAAATATTTGAGATATGAGTATGAAAATGCCTGCAAAACACATCGGACATTGTTTAGTTGAATTAATCTATGGGGACTTGAAGGAAGAGCACTTGTTTTCGAAAATTTCTTTTCATGAATGTTATTCCTTTTGAATCGAGAAGCTATCACATCCGTACGTTGTCTTTCACGCTTTCCTAGGCAGGTCCATCATATACAAGACTCGCCAATCAAAAGACAGATAGCATAACATACCGCATGTACAGTAAATTCGACAAAATACTTAAACACTCTACTTAAGGCCATCTTCACAGATTTAGGCTAAATAGAGAACTAAATTTTGTGAGCAATTGCGGTTTTGAATGCTACTACCTACATCATAATTAAAAGTATTTCCAACGTGTTGCTTAGCGACATCCTTCAACAGTGGACGCATTTAGTCGGAATAACTACTGCATTAGTAACACGTAAAAGAGCACTTTTAATGCGTTTAGTTCTCTTCACTTCTCTATGCCATCCTGTATGCGTTCCAAAATTTCTTCTAACCAATTCAGGATATTCAAAAATTTTCTACTTTAAATCACATACAGCAGGCGTCAAGCTATATAAAAATCTATTTGCTCCTCTATTTACTATTGCTATACTGTAACATGAACGGGTTTTCAAACTTGTTTTATTGTTTCTAAGATAAAAACGTCACCATTAAACTTAGTCATACATACTAAAGTCACTTGCTCAAATCACCTGAGTGTTTCACGCATCTATCTAAAATACCTTAGAATTAACAATTGTAATCGATTCTATTGACAATACAGAACCATACATAAATAATGTCCACTGTGTATTTTATACGCGTACTTTCCCTAACGATATACCGAGTCACAACTAAATAACTTGAATTCATCTCATCCAGAGCATAACAAGAAACAAAAGCGAGATCGCTATTGATTTAACTTTTTTTTAGCTTTACTTGCAACTTTTTTATACACGGTTTAACTTCTTGTTTTATAGAAACAATGTCTAACGATGATAAAAAGGAGTCAAAAGATTTGGACTCTTGGATAGAACAATTAAAAGATTGCAAACAATTACAAGAAAATCATGTCAAATATTTATGCGATCGTGCCAAAGATATTTTATCGAAAGAGT